TACTTCATTTTCATTTAGTATCATCTTCTCAATGACACTTCCTCTAAACACACAATATAAAACTAAGTTGTGCCATTGAGTCAGCTCTAACTTATAGTGACCCTTTTAAAACAGAAGCAAACATTGCTCAGTCTTGCATAATCCTCACAATCCCTGCTATGCTTGAGCCTATCATTGAAGCCACTGTGTTAATCTGTCTCATTGAGGGTTTATCTTTTATCACTGACCATCTACTTTAACCAAGCATGATATCTGTCTCCAGAGAATAGTTCCTTCTGAAAATATGACCAAAGTAGTTGGGACAAAGTCTAGTCATTCTCACTTCCAAGGAGCATTCTGGCTGCACTCCTTCCACGACAGATATGTTTGTTCTTCTGATAGTCCATGGTGTTTTCAGAATGCTTTGCCAACACCACAATTCAAAAGCATCAACTCTTTGGTCTTCCTTATTCCTTGTCCAGATCTCACATGCATATGAGGCAATTGAGAATACCACGGCTTGGGATAGGTGAACCTTAGTCTTCAAAGCGGCATCTCTGTTCATCACTTTAAAGAAGTTCCTTGCAGTAGATTTGCCCAGTGCAATATGGCATCTGATTTCTTGACTGCAACTTCCATGATTGTTAACTGTGGACAAATGAAATCCTTAAAACCTTTAAACTTTTCTCCATGTTTCCTGATGTTGGTTACAAGTCCAGTTGGGAGGATTTTCATTTTCTTTATTGAAGTGTAGTCCATGTTGAAGACTATAGTCTTAGACTTTTATCAGTAACTACTTCAAGTCATCTTCACTTTCAGCAAGCAAGGTTGTGTTATCTGCAAATCACAGGTTATTAATGAGTTTTCCTTCAATCCTGATGCTGAATTCTTCATCATATAGTCCAGCCTCTAGGACAATTTGCTTGGAATACAGATTGAATAAGTATGGTGAAAAGATACAACCCTGACACACAACCTTCCTGATTTGAAAATATGAAGTATTCCCTTATTCTGTTCAAACAACAGCCTATTGGTCTACATAAAAATTCTTCATTAGCATAATTAAGTGGTCTGGGAATTTCCATTCTTCACAATATTATTCATAATTTGTTTTGACCCACACAGTTGTATGACTTTGCATAGTCAATAAACACAGTTAAACATCTCTGTGGTATTCTTTGTTTTCAGCCAAGATCCATCTGACATCAGCAATGATATCCTTTGTTCCATGCCCTCTTCTGAATCCAGCTTCAATTTCTGAAATTTCCCTCTCAGTTTACAGCTGCAACCATTTTTTAATTGTTGTTGTTGTTGTTATGTGCCATCGAGTCGGACCCAACTCATAGCGACCCTCCTTGGGTTTCCGAGGTGGTATCACTACGGAAGTAGATTGCCCAACCTTCCTTCCGAGGAGTGTATCTTCAGCAAAATTTTACTTGCGTGATATTAATGATACTGTTTTATAATTTCCACATTATGTTGGATCATCTTCTTTGGAACAGGCTTAAATATGGATCTTTTCCACTCAGTCGGCCAGGAAGTTGTCTACCAAATATCTTGGCATAAGCAAATAAGTGCCTCCAGTGCTGCATGTTTGTTGAAACATCCCAGTGGATACTCTCAATTCCTCAAGCCTTGTTTTCACCAATTCCTTCCATGCCACTTGGACTTATTCCTACAGTACCATTGGTCCTTGATCATATGCTACCTTGTGACATACTTGAACATGGACCAATTCTTTTTGGTACAGTGACTCTGTGTATTCTTACCATCTTCTTGGGATACTTCCTGCATCATTCAATATTCTGTCCATAGAATCCTTCAATATTCCAATTCAAGACTAGAATTTTTTTCTTTAGTTCTTTCATCTTGAAAAATGCTGAGCCTGTTTTCGCTTTTGGTCTTCAAATCAGGTCTTTGTATGGTTCATTATAATACTTTACTTTGTTTTCTCAAGCTGCCCATTGAAATTTTCTGTTCAGCTCTTTCATCTCATTTCTTCCATTCACTTGTATTCACTGGCTGTGTTGAAGAGCAAGTTTCAGACTTTTCTGACAGTAATTTTGGTCTTCCTGTTCTGTCTTTTTAATGACCATTTGCTTTCCTCACGTATAATGTTCTTGATGTATCTTCACAACTCATCTGGTCTTCAGTCACTGGTGTTCAACACGTCAAATCTATTCTTCAGATGGTCTCTAAATTCAGGTGGGGGTATAAGAGTCATGTTTTGGCTGTCTCAGACTTGTTTTAATTTTCTTCAGCTTCAACTTGAACTTGAGTGTGAGCAATTGATGATCTGTTCCACAGTCAGCACCTAGCCTTGTTTTGACTGATGATATTGGACTTCTCGATCCACTTTGTCACAGATGTAGTTGATTTAAACCTGTGTGTTCCATCTGGTAAGGCCCATGTGTATAGCCACCATTTATGTTGTAGAAAAAAAGGTTTTTGCCATGAATAAGTCATTGGTCTTGCAAATTGCTATCATGTCATTTCCAGCATCATTTCTAGCACCAAGGACATATTTTCCAACTACTGGTGATTCCTTGTTTCCAACTGTTGCATTCCAATCACCAGCAATAATCAATACTTCTTGATTGCATGGTTGGTCTTCAGACTGCAGAAGTTGATAGAAACCTTCAATTTCTTCATGTTTGGCTTTAGTGGTTGGTGCATAAATTTGAATAACAGTAGTATTAACTCATCCTCTTTGTAGCTGTATGGATGTTATCTTATGACTGACAGCATTGTACTTTAGGATAGATCTTGAAATGTTCTTTTTGGTGATGAATGTTACACAATTCCTCTTCAATTTGTCATTCTTGGCATAGCCGAACCTATGATTGTCTGATTCAAAATGGCCAAAAACAAAACATTTCAGCTCACAGATGCCTAGGATATTGATCTTTATGCATTCCATTTCATTCTTGGCAACTTTCAATTTTCCTAGGTTCATACATCATACATTCCAGGTTCTGATTGTTAACAAATGTTTGCATCTGTTTTCTGTCATTTTGAGTCATTTTCCATCAGCAGATGAAGGTCTTAAAAGCTTTATTCCATCCATGTCATTAAGGTTGGCTCTACTTTGAAGAGGTGGCTCTCCCGAGTCATATTTTGAGTGCCTTCCAGCCTGAGGGGCCATCTTCTGGCACTGCTTCACACAATGTTTCAGGGTTAATCATAAAGTTTTCCAGTAATATCAGTAATATTTCACACTGTTTTAATGTGACTTATAAGGTTTTTAGTGGCCAGTTTTTTGTTTGTTTGTTTTGTTTTGTTTTGTTTTTTTCAGAAGTGGATGACTCCATCCTTCTTCCCAGTCTCTTAGTCTGGAAGCTCCTCTGAAACCTGTCCACTATGGGTGACCTTGCTGATATTTGAAATACCTATGACATAGCCTCCGGGACTCTGGTAGCATAGTGCCTAAGGCACTTGACTGCTAAC